GGCACACTTTCGACTCAATTAAAAAAGGTACTGCCAACTCTCCTGTCTAAAAATACATTCAAATTCAAGTGGGGGTAAAATATTACTGAAATATGGACAAACTTCAAGAGCGGATGAGCCTAGAAAACTGCTTAAAACGTTTACGAAAGAAACTACTGGCTTCTTCACCCGATCGATTCASATAAGTTCAAACTGGACGTTGTTAGCTCACTGAAATAACAAATTTACGTTAATTCTACGGTAAACCTATCTTTATTTCATTTACTGAATTAGCCGCTGTTCACCAACCTTTAGTTCGTAGTTTGACATAGTTTTAGCTTTAGCATAGTTAGTTTTTCTAGCTTTTTCTAGTTGTACAAAATCGCTCAACTAGTGCCGTGTAGAGCCTTGATCGAAAGAGTTTCGCTTATATGAAAGAGTTGTCGCTTGTTTGATAAGTTTTACATTAAATGCCAGAGACTTTCAGTTATCTTTAATTATTCATTGAAGGTTTTCCGACGATTTTCATCCAGAAATATATTTTCTTGATAAAGATTTGAATGTTTTAAAAGATCATAAGTACGTACACTCAGTAAACCGTTTCATTTTTCGGTCCGTACCGTAAGTTATGGACCACAAATTGACCAATCAAAGCGCGTGAAATTACCTTGCCATATAATAACAGGTGATAATGAGGCGGCATTCTTTGATGTAATTAAGTTCAGTGCATGGAAAGTTCGACGTTAACCACAGGCCTTAGACTTTTAAGGGTTATTCCATTGAAGTTTCAGCTGAATTAAAAGTCGGACGATTTACATGCTAGTCCCCCTTTAACACAAAATTATTACTGTGTAATTTGCAGCAACAAGAACGTGAAATAGACTATGGTGATTTAGGTATGGAAAATGCATTGCATTTGTTTTATGCAGACATGCAGTCAACTCTCATTATAATGCAGATATGTTTTTGTAAGAGTCAATATTTATACCAGGAGGAAAATAATTCAATATTTTTGGTACCAAGGGCACATACTGTAATAAAGTAAGAATAGCCCAGTAATTTTTATGAAAAAAAATACCTTCAAATTTTATTGAACCCTGTAACAACCTATGGGCTGATCAAAGTCAGGGCATGGCTAACTCACAGACTGAATTGGATTTTATTTAGATGGTAGGTTTTGGAGGGAGGTAGGAGGGAGGAAAACAAGAGAACTCAGAAAAACCCTTGAGTCATGGTATAGACCAAACAAACTCCTAGAAGGAAATGGGTAATATCGTAGCATTTTCCACCCATCAAATGTCTTTAGGATAAGATTTGCTAGAAACTAGAAATTGTTTGGCTTTATTGGCAGCCTGTTCAAATCAGTGTCAGTGTTGGCCTATGCTCATTCAATAGGTGGCTGATTGTTGACCAACATGTGTAATTACCTAAAATAGGAGTCTATTAGATAAAAATTATTGCCTAAGAATAAACATAAATTCTGGCACTTTTTCAGCRATGATAGTGGTTAATATTAATTATTCCATTTAATTTGAACTATTAACAGGTTTTGTTTCTCTTGGTTTGACTGGAAAGGCAATAGTTGATATAAGTATAGTTGTCTCTCAAATAGGTTAGTAGATTCTATTATTTTATTATATATTATTATATAGATATCAATGAAATACCAGGTTTTATCATATTATAATTATCCATAAAATACCTATATTTCTCCTTTTCGAAAAACTGATATTTTCACGTGTGAAAATAACATGTTATTTTCACATGTGAAAATATCGTTTCCATGTGTATTTAAGCTATTAGTTTATAGATTAAAACTTTTTATGATAATGAGAAGCTTGTTAAATTGATTTTATGGATAAACAGAATATTACATGGGTGCTTGGAGATATGAAATTTATCTTCTCGTGTTGAAAATCTCTTACTTGTTCGCTGCGCTTCACTCGTGAGAGATCTTTTCAACACTCGAAGATAAATTTCGTATCTCTGCGCGCCCATGTAATATCCTCTATTTCTCTAGTGTCGAAAACTTGATATCTTTCACCAGTGGAAGATACCATATTATATCTTTCACATGTGAAGATATCGCTGTTGAATCGGCTTGCTATTTTAATAAAGAATTTTTGAGCTTTTGTTTTATTCAAGTTTCATCGATTTCTATGTAGAACATTACATGGCCGCTTGGAGATACGAATTTTATCTTGTGTTCAATTTAGATATCTCACTCGAAGATAAAATTCGTATCTCCGCGCGCCCATGTAATATCCTCTCTATATATATTAATAAGCTATTGATTAAATTTTGTATATTTTTTTCTTTAGGCTTTTCCTGTGCGTACCTTATCTTCATATCTGAGAACATTGCAGATATGACGTCTGATCGCTTCTCAAAGTAAGATAATAAAGTTAGATTATGTACCATCTTAGCACGCACCTGAGTACACCAATAATGCTGCACATGTTTGAATGATAACTCAACCATGCAGTTATCTAATGGCCTAAAATATCAATCTCTAGCAGGGGTGTATCTAGAATTTTAAGTATAGAGGGGTTTACAAAAGATGCACCTTTTTAGCAATTTCCAGTGCTTTAAACCAACTAATTCCAGGCAAAAAGGGGTACACAAACGTTACTTCTCCCTAGATCTTACTAGAAAAGCAGCTAATAGTACAGAATGTGTTAGATATAGTGGGATGTTGGTAGGGTGTCAATAGGGTGTTAGTAGTTTGTCAGTACTTAAGATGTTGGTAGGGTTCAGCAGGGTATAATTGGTAGAGTGTCACTAATAAGATGTTGGTAGGGTGTCAGTAACTAGGGAAGTTTTTGTAGGGTGGTTTTTTGTATCACTGTGAAAAGCTTGTGACACAAACATGGTCTTGGCATGGCAAGGCATATGCCAGACCAATCAAATTGCCTGAGAATTAATTCTCCATCCAATCAAATGCCTGGAACATGACACAAACAGGTACTGCATGGACATGGTCACAAAAAGGTCATGGCACTGCCAGACCATTGTGCAAGAAAGCAATCAGCCAATTAAAATTCTAGAAAGCATCAGTTCAGAGCAAGGCATGCATACAGCACTGAGCTTTTCACAGTGATACCAAAACTGCTCTAGTGTGATGGTGGGGTGTCTGTAAGATCAATCAATCAATCAATCAATCATCCTTTATTTATACACGATAATGCCAACAGAATAACTGGTTTACATGACAGACGTGAATATATATATAACTAAGACAAGTAACTAAGACATAATATTAATGTATATTATCGAATATTAATAAAATAATAATATCAAAAAAACTAGAGGTAAGGTCAGAGCTTGCTAGTTGAGATGAAATCTGCTAAAACAGCATTTTTGAAAGATGTAAAAACTTGATTGATTTCTAGCAGTATGAGGAAGATTGTTCCATAGTTTAGCACCCCTGTAAGTTAAACTCCTCTTTCTATATTCAGTATTAAATCTTTTGATAAAAAGTTTCGTTGTTGAGCCTCTAAGATTGTGTGATGTCGATTCTGATAGCAAATTAAACAAATTTGGAAGATATTCAGGGGCTTGGTTGTTCATGCATTTATGCATTAAATTCGCCAACAGTAAGGTTCTTCTAATATGGCGTGGGTACCAACCTAGAGACTTCAGAACATCTGTAGATCTGATGTCATAAGTGGCACCAGTGATGATACGAGCAGCTCTGTTTTGTAGCCTTTGTAATTTATCTGCTAAACCCTTATTTAGATCACCCCAAACCTCAGAGCAGTAATCGAAATGAGGCTATTAAAGCATTGTAGATTTTGATTAAAATTTCTTGTGTAACAAAGGGTTTAGCACGTGTCTTAAAACACTTAAGCCTGTTTTAACTCTCTTAATAATTAGGTCAATGTGATCACTCCAATTTAAATTTTTGTCCAATATTACTCCGAGAGATTTAATTTGATCACTTGGAAAAATAACATGATTATTAACAATGATCTCAGAACCAGAAGAGAAATTAGATAATCTCTGTCTAGTACCAATATACATACATTTGGTCTTATCTGAGTGTAGATTTAATCTATTTGCTATCAACCAATTATTCAGAGATGAAAGATCATCATTTACCTTATCATTTATTGATATTGGTAGAATGTGAGTGGGATGTCAGTAGGGTGTTGATAGGATGTGAGTGAGATATCAGTAGGGTGTTGATGGATTATTAGTAAGATGTTGGTGGCATGTCAGTGGGGTGTTGGTAGGGTGTATGCAACATGCTGTTAGGATGTCAGTAGGTTGTTGGTAGGGTGTCAGTAAGATGTTGGTATGACAGTGAAGTGTTGGTAAGAAGTTCATTTTTCTTATAATGATTTCATCTTTCTTTTTCAGAAATACTGTTCTCTTGACCTTGTTACCACCTTTGCTGGTCCTAGTGAACTTTAGACATCTAAAGCGCCTTGCCATTTTTAGGTAAGGGACTGTTAATTATTTATTGAGGGGGAGAATGGGAGAGAAAATAGGGGGCCTTGAAATATATACAATGGAGCCTTCAAAATGTTAGTAAGAAAGACACAGGGGGTATTGTGGCTCTCTGATAAATAATGAACGTTTCCTAATATGGGTAAAATGTAATATTCAACTGTATTTGAATCAGCATTAGGTTTTAATATGATGCATGTTTATTTCGTTGCAGCATGTTTGCAGACTTTGCAAATGTTTTTGCGTATTGTGTGGTCTTTTGGTTTGATTTTGAACACTTTGATAGAGTCAAGTAAGTTATAAATTTGACAAGCTATTGCAGTAATTGCCATAACCCTCCCACCCACTATATTTAAAATTGTCTCATTCCTTACCTTAATCAGGTTCAAATTGTATATTACAGTATGTAGCCTCATTGTATCATTTTATCTTCACCTTTCCAAGAGAGTTTTATTGCACTTTATAAAAAAACTGTTATGAATGTCGAGTTCTGATTGGTTTGGAGCGTGTGCTTTATGAGAGCACATTGCACACGCACGCACTTTCCATTGCATCATTCCTATCTATTATGGTAATTTGTATTTTATAAAAGAAATAAAAAACTTGCTTGCTGTGCTGTGTGCAGTCATAAAGCACTTGGAGATTGGCAGAACACTCAAGAAGTGCATGTCCAGAAGCACTCCTCTGCACATCGTGCTTAGATCTCCTAACACTTCTCTCGTGTTCTGCCAACCCCCCTGTGCTTTATGACAGCACACAGCACGCACGCACGTTTTCTATTTCTTCATTTCCTTTTCTTTCAAAAAAAAATTTAATGTGCAGAGATAACTAGTCTTTTTTAAAAGACTAAATGAAAAAGGGAGCTTATCATTTTAGAAGTAATAGTTATTAACAGTCTCAGTGCCATACCTTGTGGATAAAGTTGATGTTATTTCATTACTATTTTAGACTTCACCCAAAACTAGCAAACATAAGTGGCTTGCCATTTTTCTTGGGGATTGCAATTTATTGTTATGAGGTAAGTTCATTCTTTTTACTATTAATTACAACTGTGCCTTTGCAAGCATTATTGCGCCATCTCTCTTGAGAATTAGAAATGTTGATTGAATATATTTATCTGAAAGTCAAAGCTTTTAAACTTGTTGTGATTATTTATTTGAACAGGGTGCTGGTATGGTGCTGGCACTAGAAGCATCCTGTGCAAAGACAGCCAGATCAAAATTTCGAAGGTAATTCTTTTGCATTGATGTATGTAGATTTGCTGGGTAAAACACCCTTCATGTGAATTCATATATTTAACAAATCAAAGACAGTTGAATTCTGTGTTTGATACTCTGATCAAAACCACAGGGTGTTGAGAGAACACAAGAGGAGTGTAGGAAACCAAGATGCGTAGCAGAGTGGTTTCCAGCTTCTTGAGTGTTCTCTCAACATGCCCTCATCAAACATGGTTTTCGACCAATCGTAGCGCATGTACTATCCCAATTATTTTATAAAAGAGAATCAAGATGGAGATTCAATGAACTACTGTCATTTAATGAAGTTACTGTTTTCCCTCACCATCATTTTTCTGTTATTTTAGTATTTTAAAGTTTACACTGACCTTAGTAACATTACTATCCATGGTTTTTGGCATTTGTGGATACTTGGTAAGGATGCCATTTGACAAAATGTACTAATAAATAACCATTTGTAAGTGTGCAGAGTATAGTTATGAAATTTATGACTCTTTTTCTTAGTATGGGTGGCGTATGCTGCTAACACGTCGTCTTTTACCACTGTGAATCCAACAGGTCGGGTCGCTGGTTCGAGCCCTGTGGTTGCCACATGTGAATTGAGTTTTTTTGATTTGTTGTTCTCTCCTATGCTCCCTGCTCAGGAGTATTAAGGCATGGGTCCAATGTGACTGCTGCAAATCAAGAGGGGGTGGTCTATCTCCTTAACTATGTAAGTTGTTTCCATGAAACTTTAACGGAGACTACAATGTCACAATATCAACACATAAACATATTAGTTGCCATGGAAACATGCAATGTAACCTTTGCACTCTAATTGAATTCTACACAAAAGCCTCCTGGAGGACGGTAAAAGATTTTCGAATGTTGAGGGTTTCATTGTAAATTAATTAGAATCAGTATCTAGTTTGTTGTTCTAATTAGATAAATTGGAACAACTAATGTGAAAGTGAAATTTGATACTCTCTATTTGCAACTCTGGATAAAATAGTAAAATAAAACCACATTTCCACCCCTTGATAACTTTAGGGGCTAAAGTGAAAGAACACTTTCGCCCCTTGATAACTTTAGGGGCGTGATCATCTTGGACCCACGCATTAATATTCATGAGTGCATAAAGATCAACAGTTGAGTGTTGTGTGCATAGAACATTGAAGTAGTGGTAGTGCATGTAAGTGAAAAGTGTCTCCAATTAGTGCGAAAGTGCTAGAACAACTAGACACTTAAATAAAGATTTTTCCCTTCTAGTCTTATGGTATTAACACGAATAACATCATAACAATCAATTTACCTAAAGGTATGTACATTTGCTAAAAAAGAATTAGAAAGTAACTAAACATGGTGCATAAATCTATGCAATCAACATGTGTACAAAATGTTTAATTTGTTGGGCTAAGCCTTAGCTTCTGGGTCCACACCTCTGCAATGGACCACATCATATTGTGGATTGTCTAAGTACAAAATTAATGTGTCCACGCCTCTGCTATGGACCACATCATATTGTGGATTGTCTAAGTACAGTAGAATCAAATGTGTCCATTCGTCTGCAATGGACCACATCATATTGTGGATTGTCTAAGTACAGTGGAATCAAATGTGTCCATTCGTCTGCAATGGACCACATCATATTGTGGATTGTCTAAGTACATGTACAGTAGAATCAAATGTGTCCATTTGTCTACAATGGACCACATCATATTGTGGATTGTCTAAGTACAGTAGAATCAAATGTACATCAAAAGACCTCCAACACAACAAATTTGAAATAATGTATATAATGTGAAATCAATGCTTGCAGATCAATAATTGGTTATCATTCCAGTTATAGACCATTAAAGAATATTCTTATAATGTATTAATTGCATTAGTTTGACATTGTTTAACTTCATTTCTGGTCAACCCTTCTAGATATTTATGTGGAGTTTACACTAGGCCTTGTTATTGTTGCTTCTCTCTCAATTCTGTCAGCTACATTCCCTTAATGTTTTCCATCCATATTTGTTATTATGAATTATTATTAAATGCTAGTAATTATTATTTTTCAGGACCATTTCCTTATATAGTCAGAGGCTGCCTGTGTTTTTCCCTTTTCTTTACTTATCCAGGTTAGTTTGTTTAAAGTATCTATCACCCTTCCAACATTATTCTTAGTATTTATTTTACATGGAATAAGATGATGATTTTTTTAATAGTTTGAGTGTGGCTTCTTGAATTTATAAAAGGTTTTTCTATGTCATATTCTAATGACTGTGACACATGAGGAGTAATCATTCAATATACAAAACATTACTGGAATGGATAAATTAAATTTGAAATATGTCATTGCTCATATAGAAATTATTGCAAGTTAGTTTTCACTTCGATTGCTGCTACTCAACAGTGGTTGATGAAAAGGAAGGGAAGGGAATGGAAAACAAGAGAGGAAAAGAAGAAAAAAAAATAGTGGGGAGAACGGAATGTAAGAAAAAATAGGGTCTAGTGTCTGATGGAAACTTCTGCTCCACAAATAAAACATATTTGTGCAGGGAGTATGGTACTTTAGATACTCTATTATTTCTCTTTCAGTTATGATGTTCCCTGCTGTTGCAATACTCGAGAAGCAAATCTTTAATAATGGCAAAATCTACTACTATTATGGGGTAAGTTTATTATTGTGTTTAGTACTGTACGACAACAACAATAGTACCGGCATTACTATAATATATTAGGATATAACAAGAATAACTTAGAAATAGGTGATAGCTAGTTATAACCACCAAAAGGTTAACCGGGATAATTAGCTTATTAGGGTAAATAATCATAATTATAACATGCATCTTGGGTTATCAGGTGGCAACAATTAATATTGGCTAAGTGGGTTCTGGCAATGTGCATCGGGCCAGCAACTCCATCGCATATCATTCATTGAAAACTCAGCCCTGCGTGCCGCACAGGCATATAGGATAATGATGATGAATTGGATTATTATACCAGTTTTTTGCTGAAAGAATATTTTCCCTCTCTTTAGACTCTAATAAGAGCTGGTGTGGTAGTGGCAAGTCTTGTTATTGTGCTTATCATCCCAAACTTCTCCATACTGATGGCATTGGTTGGTTCCAGTTGCTGTACACTCCTCTCTTTCATCTTACCTGCATTGTTCCATTTACAGATATTTAAAGGGTGAGCTATATATTCTTTATTTATTTATTAAACTTCCAACAGTTAAACTGTTTCGGAGAACTAGACAGGTGATATTCCACCTATAGGATATTCTCCAACTAAAAAAAAAAGTGTCTCCAGATTGAAAGATGATAAAATGATATGAGATTCTTGAAAGTCGTGGTTTTCTCTGCTGAGGAATGAACATGTGTGAGAATGAGGAGGGAAGAGGTTAGGGGCATTATTAGCACATGCTACTTTTTATAACCATTTACAACTCCAGTTTCAAGTTCTCTACAGCATATAATAATCTTTATTGTTATAATACCATCAAAGTCCATTTTTCTCTTACTCTGAGTGGGCGAGAGGGTATCACATTTCAATTTCCCCTGGCAACGGCTTTCAGTGGGCGACAATATGTTGTTGACCGGTAAGGACAATACCAGAAGTGATTTTCTCAGAAATGTACGTTTTTCTAAGTTTTTCAAAATTAAATAGTCAAAAAATCAAATAACTGCTTTTTTTTTCTTTGACACTTGGTACGTAACAAAACACTTTTATTGACTTGAACCTTGGGAAAGTAGTGTGTTTTGTGGTCTCTCAATGGCAATTTTTCCCTCAGCTTCGCCTCATGAAATATCGCCATCTCTGGACCACAAAACATTAGCAACAAAGTATTAGTAACAGCCTTGGTAATGTATGCATCAGCTGCCAATCATTTTGTGATCCATGTATGCATGCATGCATCAGCTGCCAATCATCTTGTGATCCATGTATGCATGTATGCATCAGCTGCCAATCATCTTGGATAGATAGATAGATTTATTAAACATCTCACCTGCAGCTGAAAAACTGAATTGCTAAAATTTACAATGATCTATAATAATAAAAACAATAGAAATAATAGAAACTATTTCAGTAATGATTAATTATAATAGCAAATTTGAATTAAATGTTAAGAGGTGATTTGCTCCTCAAACGTGCCCATACTCCGAAAAGCCCAGAGAAAACTAACAGCAAACTTCTCTCCAAGCCTGCCGGGACATGCGTCTTAGAAACCCTTCACCTCACCAACAGCCTACAACAGTCTTGTATTCCTTTTATGCATGCATGCATCAGCTGCCAATCATCTTGTGATCCATGTATGCATGCATACATCAGCTGCCAGTCATCTTGTGATCCATGTATGCATGCATGCATCAGCTGCCAATCATCTTGTGATCCATGTATGCATGTATGCATCAGCTGCCAATCATCTTGTTATCCATGTATGCATGCATGCATCAGCTGCCAATCATCTTGTGATCCATGTATGCATGCATGCATCAGCTGCCAATCATCTTGTGATCCATATATGCATGCATACATCAGCTGCCAATCATCTTGTGATCCATGTATGCATGCATGCATCAGCTGCCAATCATCTTGTGATCCATGTATGCATCAACTGCCAATCATCTTGTCAGTAGTAGTATGATATGATACAGCTAATACCCTTACAATATTTTTGTTGTTTATATGCTGAACTCAGTTTTATTTCCTTTTAGTGAACTTACATTTGTCCAGAAAACAGAGGATTGCATTATAATATTTGTAGGAATAATGGGGTAAGCCAGACACCTGAATTAACATACAACCCATCACCGTTATCGATCACGTTTCCTGGGTAATGTGGTAAACTAGCAAGACCTTACTTATCACTGATAACAACGCGTTGTGCATCAGTCCTTTTGCTTACTTATTCAATCCACCCAAAACCACAATTTTCATTGTTCACTCATTTTGTGTGTTTTAATGCATCTTTTTGTCGTTTTCCATTAACAGAACCCTGATAGGAACTCATGATGTAATACAAAGAATATTAGAGCAGTGAATTCTGAAAGATAAATTGTGGTAACCTTACGCTCTATGTACAGCGAATTATACTACCCAAGCATTCACACAAGGGATCAAATATTATTTGAATGATGACTTCAGTAACACAAGGCTATGATATTCAAGGTTAAAAGTTTAAAGATATATATTTCATCCATACTGCCAGAATGGAATCACCATTTGTAAATTAAGCGTTAAGGCAGGGAGGATTTCTCTTTTCGACACTTATTTTCAGAAAATTAAAATCATTAGTCGGAAATGTGAAACCATGTTCTGTTGTTGTAAAGGAACTAGATTAGTTATAAATCAAAGGCTGCCAAGCAACGGTTTTTACGATAGATTATGTGGTATGTTTTATATCCTAGCATCTTTAGGAAGACTCTTTCGTTTCACTCTCAATGCAGTGGGTAACAGCTGGAATTTAATATGTTTTCTCGGGAGTAAGCTTGGCGATCTGCCTCTGTCATTATTGGTAATAATTGCACATTGCTTTTGATAAACAATTCAATAATCAGTTCCAAACCATTCCGACAAATGTTCTATTATAGTTGAGATCAGAGTTGAGATAAGACAAAACAAAGGGTTATGCCGGCATGGGATTGCAAGCTAAATACGAAGATTAACTTTATATTTTATGTTAAGCTATGGCGTTTTGGGGTACGAAAATGAGATGCCATTTGATTTTAAAAAAGTAATTCGCTGTCAGCTATCAAGGATTAATGGGATGATGTATCACAAGTATTGCGCAATGTCATTTTTGAGAAACTAAAAACTCGAATAGTTAGGGCGGTTCGTGCATCTCCTTGAAAACTCCTGGGATTTGACTTTTTTGGTTAATTCTTGAAAGTGCAAATGTAGTTGTTGTGACTTGGAAGCTGAGACCACAAGCTTTTTTGGAAAAACACTTGAAAAAAGAATCTATTTTTCTCGAAAAAGGAAGGGGCACACCAGTAGGACGTCCGCAAAAAAAAACATCACTGAACTACTCAGGATAACCAACATATGAACCTCCCAAATTAAGAAATAAAAAATATATATTAACTATTTTGATATAAACTTGGCAAAATCCAGTTTTGACTGCCTGTGTTTTGGTAAGATATGATACGTTTACAACATTCAAAAGGGCTTTATTTACATGTAAACGGCACTCAAAACGTACCTCGTAATCCAAATTTCCACTAAATTTGGTCTCGGTTTTTCAACTCAACAACAATTCTGCAATATCTTAATAGATATTCAATAATTTTAGGGTAAAGAAAGGCGGTTTTTAATGGTATTGTCATAATTTGTAAATAATTTAATATAGGAAAGCCTCAAAAGATATATCGTATATTCTTGTAACATGCTATATCTTTTGTAATAAAATAAAGGCATTGAATGAAGACAACTGACAAACTGACCGTATAAGGAGAGGTTAGTCGGCCCCTAGACTATAGCTATGATAAACCCCTTACCCGGGGAGGGGGGGGGTACTCCCCTATATTCGCTATACGGGTACGTGCCGCCAAACAGGGTATGGTTTTCAGCGCTTCTACTCTGGAACCGGGTATATAAAATCGTGCTTGCTCTGGGACAGGGTATGTGAAATCACGCTCTCTCCTCTCTGGAACAGGGCATCCATTTTCGCAATACCGGAACAGGGTATGATTTTCAGCAATCTTGCTCTGGAACAGGGTATGAATTCATCGATTTTACTCTTGAACAGGGTCAGGGTTCAGTGCGCTCAGCGGCACATCCCTACCCTAAACGGGCAAGAGTACCCCCATGTAGGATGCATTTAGTAAAGCTAAGTGGAACGTGCATCATCGTACTTTTGCCCTATTTCAAAGAATATCTGCTAAATGTGTAGTGTCTACTAGTGTCTATATATATATACACAATAGATGTAGATCTAATGTATATTCTCAAGTTCATATTCTCTTGATATTCTGCATATCGCACTTCACTAGTCCTTAATTTTGGGCCTTGAAAAGTCCTAAGAAGTCCTTGAATTATCTGTTTGAGATGTAGCACGAACCCTGATTATCGACTGATTATGGCACCCTACCTGTGTTTTTTATGTACGTTTATGGTCGTTTATAGTGTGCACGATCCCCGATCGATCTCGGATTTATCAAAACTAGGCTTACCATCCGAAGTATCTGTCATTTCGGATGTGTGGGCTCCCTGTGGTCTCTTGAATTATCGAGTGATTTCAGCTTCTCAAAAATACATCTTCTGAAAACTTCCTAAGAAATTAAATGCCGTCAAAATAAAGTTTAGTCATTCACTTCATGAAATTTGAGTGTTATTTCTTCGTCCGATGCGGTTTAAGGCCAGTTTCTGGCGTTTGGCGTGAGCTATGTTTGTATGTGTGAGGAAAAAAAACAGTGACCCTAACCCTAACTATCCATTTAGGCCCCGTCCACACGTATCCGAAAATTTTTGTATCCGAAAATTTTTATTTGCGGATACGGGTTGCGTCCACACGTGTCCGCAAATTTTTGTGTCCGTATCCGCAAATTTTACGAAAACGGATACGTGTGGACGGTGAAAACGATTCGAATACGCTGCGTGTGGAMGCAAACATTTCGTATCCGCAAAAAATGATTTCCGGATACGTGTGGAGGGGGCCTTATAGTGTACTTGGGCAAGAAATTATAGTCCAATTTTCCCCTGTCATGGCTGTTATCACGTGACGGTCCAAAGCCTCTATTGTGCTCACGCCTTCATTTTACTCACACACTGCACATGATTTGGGTTCCCTGTGGTCTAACACGTGCGAATCTGCAAAATTGTGCAAACTTTTGAAGCGGGAGATGTGAATATACAAAAAAGAACAAAAATGCCTAGTTCTGTTTATGGATTCTACCAAGTTCCAGGCTTGTCTTCAGAAGCCCAAGAAGTTACTCTAACTGCACTAAAAGCAGCAATTCCCAGGCTCGACATTACAAAGTTCGAAAGTGAACTGTGCTTCTATGTTGGTGTTGAGAACCAGTTGACGAAGGTGGAAGAAGAATCATTGAGACGAATTTTCAGTAGATCTTTCGAAAAAGAAAAGACAACAAGAACCTCACATCTTTACACGAAAGGTAATACATTCAAAGATTCAACCAATAGCATTATTATCGAAATCGGACCAAGGCTGAATTTTTCCACGGCATTTTCTACAAACGCTGTATCTATTTGCCAATCGATTGGTTTGAAGAAAGTAGAAAGAGTTGAACGATCTCGTCGATATCTGGTCGAGTTTCATGATAAAGATGAAACTCAGATATCTAGCGTATTAAATAAAGATGAAGAGCTAGCATTAGTACATCTGCTTCATGATCGTATGACTGAATGTCGCTATGTCAAGCCAATTGAGAGTTTTGAAGTTGATGTCCATCCAGAACAGTGGTACGAGATTGATGTGATGGGCCAAGGAAAGCCAGCTTTGGAAAAGATTAATAAAGACCTTGGCCTTGCTTTTGACGACTGGGATTTAGAATATTATTCAGAGGTTTTCAAAGAAAGAGTTGGTCGTAATCCAACGAGTGTTGAATGCTTTGATCTTGCCCAGTCCAACAGTGAACATTCTCGTCACTGGTTCTTCCGCGGCAGACTTGTTATTGATGGGAAGGAGATCGACAGTTCCCTCATGAAAATGGTCATGAAAACACAAGAAACCAGTAATGATAACAACGTGATTAAGTTCAGCGACAATAGCAGGTAAAAAGATTTTGAATGGGTGAGTGTAATTAGGGGAGGGGGGGGGGGATTATGGTGTTTCTTTTGGTCCATTTGATTTTTTGGGAAAAAATTGGTTAAATTCCCCACCATGCGAGCCAACCAAATGATCAAATGCCCCACCGTTCAGGCTACCCTGGTCCCAGAGCTTTCTCGTTTTTTTTTTTCTCTGTAAAAAGCGGCAACAACGAGCTGCGAAGCAGCGAGCCGCGAGAAACCTCTGGTCACGACCGTTGAGAATCTCACTTTCATGCCATCATAGCTGTCAAATCCATCACTTCTAGTCGACCAATCACAAAAGGATGATCGYGTTACAAATTGTCATTAGGGTGTGGAGGCTTAATGCTATATACCAACACTATTTTTTTCAAGTAGGGGTGGGAGAGGAGACTTTGTATATTTACGAGCTGTCAAAATAGTGTACTACACGTGCGACTCTTCTTACTTCGACTCAATAGTTATGGGATTATGCAGAAAGATTATAATACACCGGTAAAGGTATTTATACAGCGTCCAAACAACTTCTGTAGAGCTTGCAGAGAAAGTTTAAAAATCAGTGGGCGCTCGCAAATTAATATTTTTGGAGCAAATAATCGAGAATTTCTTCGCCATTTTGAGACAGTCGCTGAACAAGCGAACAAGCGGCCACAGTCCTTTATCGATTTGCAGTAAACAATAGTTTTGTCCAGTGTTACATTTTTCTCATGAATCTCCTTTAGAAGCAATTCGAAAGAATTTCCAATGTTTGAATTCACCTTAGCAATGTTGAGGTAGATATTCTCTCTATTTGGACTAAGAAAAATTTCAATGCAATTTTTTCGAATACAGAGGGATTCTTTTATGTCCTTCCTTGTCTTTGTGTTTGCTGTGGCTGTCAGCGCAAGGACGGGGACCAGTGGCTTCTGGCTGAGCAGAGATCTAAGTTCCCCAAGTCTTGAGAAACACTCACGGAAAGCAGCAACATACTCCTTTTTACTCGATTTCTGTTTTTGGCTGCTGAATCCCCTGGAAAAAATATAACCAATGATTGAGCATAAATGCAGACATTTACAATTTGTGCAACAAGTGACCGATCTAAAAACACTTCAGTTTGAGCTGATTTCTTGTTGGGATCTAAAGCTTTTTTCAATTTTTATAATTCACAAATGTTTCGGAACTGTGGTTACAACGTCATGTAGGAATATTTTAGCTCTATCTTTTACAAGGTTTACGCCAAGAAACCTTTTATCGAATCATTGCTTCTTCTTTGTGACTGTTACTCTATGATCAGAACTATCCTCCCCTGTGTTCTCAAGATTAAATATACGAAAGCCGTAATTTTAGGTCCCTAAGTACTAATGTCACAGTTACATGTAATCGATTGTCAAAGTTTATCATCACGAAGATGGGTCATATCAGTTGAGCTTACCATTTTGGCACCACGTGCGCTTCATCGGTGACAACAGCGAACACATTTCTTTGATAGACCTCACTTTCAAGCATTTTCCTCCATTTTTCATTTTGGAGGACAGACTCGGGGCTTGCGAAGAGATAAGAATATTGACCACGCAGTATTTTCGATTCATCAATATCTCCTGTTAAACTGCTTGCTGTCATGCCTCGGGAATTCAACTCTCGGATATGAGACTCCACCAGCGAATTTAGCGGACAAATCACCAAGACGATGGCGTTCCTTGGGTAAGGAAACCCTCTGAGATAAAGTTCCTTACAGAAGTCGAACAGTAGTTGGAATATGATTGACTTGCCATGGCCGGTTGGCAAAACGGCGAAGACATCTTCTCGGTTTAACAGACCAAACAAAGCGTTGCTTTGCTCAGCCGATAGCTGTTCTATTTCGGGAAAACGACTTTCGAGAATTGACTTCAAGATAYTCTCGAATAGTTCTCTGGATATCAAAACCGTCATTGAAACTATAAACCAGCAATATTTATAAACTATAGACTTTAGATAAGATTGTAAGATTTATTTTAAAGATCAAACTTCAGGCTGACAAGACGCTATAATGACRATATAGTCCGATGGCACGAAAAGTCTGACCCCTCTCCCCAAACAAAAATATTGACGTGACAAAATCATTCAGCCCCTACCCCCATAGATATCTAATCCAGCCAATCATATTTCTCGTACACTGATTAAAATAGCCATCCAATCAGAATTCGACGATCATAAGTTGATGGCATGAAAGTGAGATTCTCAACGGTCGTGACCAGAGGTTTCTCGCGGCTCGCTGCTTTGCAGCTCGTTGTTGCCGCTTTTTACAGAGGAAAAAAAAAACGAGAAAGCTCTGGGACCAGGGTACGTTCAGGCTCCACTAAGTGGTCAAATGCATGCCCCTCTAGTCTGATGAATCTCAAATTTTACCTAAAAAGTACTAAACTGAGCCCGTACAACTGAAGTTTTTTTATTCTTGGTTCTCTGATAATAAAAAACTAAAATTAATTGATAAGGATGAAGGAAAATATTACAGGGGTTTCATTAAAGGCTGGAGATCAGAGAATGCTCTGGTAAATTCTTAATCTATATGTCAAGTCCTTGTTATGTCTATTATATTTATGTTACTGTAAATTTACTGTTATGTTATATTAATTGCTATCAATAGTGATTTATTATTGGATTCCATGCTGGGATTTGTTGGATAACATGTCAACTCTTGAATCCCTTAGCCAAGAATTGATAAAAATGGTGAAATTAAGCTTGAAGGCTTCAAGCATTTGGTCCACAAAAACAATTCATATGCTTGATTTCTTTGACTCACCCTCTTGTCTCATCTGTTTATAAATGAGTCTCATTTGTAGGTAATTATTTATTTTGCATCCCACATAAAGCATGTTATGTTTCTATTATTATAGTGTTATACTATATGCTCTATATTAGTTTAATTGCATTGTTTATTTCTGGTTGCACCAACTTACACTGTACTTAAGTCCTACTATCTTTTCTGCTCCCTTAGTTCTATATCTGGCTTCAGTGTACCCATTTTAAAGCCAGACAATCCAAAAACTGCCAGCAAATTCCACATGAAAAAGGACATTACAAGACACATCATTTTCTCTGCTGAGACTCATAACTTCCCCACAGGTAAATTGAGGTTTGTTCTATTCATTGTGTTTAATGAACATGCAAATAAACCACTTCTGATACTTTGAAAATCTGACTTGAGGCTTCAGTAAAAAGGTGCTTTTATGCATCATATTGACCAGTATTGCCACTTTGAATCAAGGCTAGTGAGAGCATTCACCTGATGCTCATAGAATACAAGCGAAAAACAATTATTTCTAAACTTCAAGAAATTTTAATTGAAAATGTTTTATGTACCTCCAATTTGCAGTAAACTGCAGGTCAACAAAAATAAACACACTTAAAGCATGTCATTTAACGTGTTAATTAATGATGTCGAGGAGATTCTTGTGAAATGCTAGATAATATTTATATGTCATTTAATTTCTATTTAACAATTGGACTACAAGGTCGAGTGTTCTCTAGTCAATAGATAGTCAATGAGGCGCGTAGTGTCCATTAACATAAAGCTTAAACTTGCTCTAGCTATTTCATATAAAAATCTCTTTCCAATATTTTTTACCTTATCAGTTCTTGGGATCATTTTTTTGAATTATTAACTTAATGAGTGATAAACTGAAATAATTTATTTACAAATACTTTGTTGTCGGATCATTCAAAGCAGTGCCATGTTTACAATTTGCTTAATATAAGATTCTTGTCAGTTAACTTGCACTTTCTTTATTGTTTTGTCTGTTCTTACCGTTTAAAATTCTTCTTGAATGCATGTGAATAATAGAATATGAATTACTTACTTAATATTCTCTTGATGTGAATAAGTTGTCTTTTGGATTTTTTTTGTTCTTTGAGGGAATCCTACATTTGACAACATAATATCTGCTAATATTTCCGATGACAAGGATCGATTGTTTTTCTTGGAGAAATACACGACAGGCAAGGCGAACGAGGCCATCGCCGGTTTCTTAGCAACCAATTCAGATACCGCCTACAGAGAGGCTCAGATTAAGCTGCTCAAGCAGCGTTTCCTTTTAAAATGCCATCATTATCTCAGTAGTCAGTTGTTTGTCCGTCATAAGTTTGCACATGAAAATCTCAGTGAAATCTGACGGCCGCTTTTTCATGTTAAAATTGCCATAATTCTCAGTTTTTATTTGTCTGTACCATTCAAAACCTCAATTCCTTTCCTTTAAAGATTTGTTTTAGAGAACGAGCAGAAATTTTTGACAAAACTTGAGCATGCACTTGTTTATTTTCACTACTCGATATCTATCACAGTATAGATAGTGAGTACGTCAGCCAATCAGATTGCAGGATTCGTGATAGTATACTAGTAGGTTTATGCTAAATTATATTAGAACGATTTCACATATACAATGTTTTACATGCAAATTAGTTTGAGATTAAAATAACATGCTATTGAGACAAACCTGTGGATACACCTTTCAGCCGTGAAAATGTTCATTTCACACGTTAAAATTGAAGCTAAAAGAATGATTATTTAACCAAAAGTAAAACCAAGAAGCAAGAAAAAAAACCAGATTTATAGGAGCTAGTGGCTTGTGAAACATATAAAGAAATGTGCAGTAAAGCAACATGGATACACTTGAACCTGTAAAGAATTTGCTGACTGATCTTGACATCAAGGGCCAGTGGGGCCAAGGGACAGTGAAATTGAAATGAAACAAAAATAAGGGGTGTTAATAATTTTCCTGTGAAATGTGGTATTCTTTGTCTTATTAACACACCAAATTAAAATGTAGGACTTTGAAAAAAATTGTGTTGCTTGTAGCTAGTGCTGAAAACCAGTGCAATACACAAATTATACTTTCATCTACGTCATTCATATGATTTTGCCCTAAGGCCTCATCGTGTGTGAGCAAAAGCAATTATTGGCCACCTAACACCTCTACCRTATTACACAGAAAAAGAATTATCACCTTTTGTTTTAGGGTGCACTGAGCTGGAAAAAAAGAATAAAAGCAAAAAGATCTATACAAATAATGAAACATTACAAAAATGATGAATCGAATTATAAGTTCTTTTTTTCAATATCACTGTCCCTTCTTGATTTGGACCTCAACATTGGTCAGCAAATTCTTTACACGTTCTAGTGTATCCATGTTGCTTTACTGCAAATTTATTTATGCACTTCACAAGCCACTAGCATCTCAGTAGCTCTTTCTCTTCTTGCTTTTTGGTTCAGCCTCTAATTAAATTATAAACTATCTTTTTAATTTCGATTTTAACTTGTGAATTGAACATATTCAYGGCTGAAGCATGCATCCATAAAATGTAACCATGCGGCAAGGGTATGCACAGAATACGAACTTGGATTGCAACAAGTGACAGAATATATTTATTAAACAAAGCCAAACTTAAGCTAATGTTTACAAGAACAAATACATTGAAGACTAAGTCAAAGTAAAGGAAATAAACAATATCAACAAAATAAATGGGGACAATAATAAGGCATTAGAATATCTTGCTAGAAGCAAGTTACTCTGTGATATTAGCTCTTTCCAGAAGTATTCTATCTGAGCTCAAACCCAACTGAAAACTGACTGAAACTAGCGTCTAATTATATGAGGAGAGTAAGCAAGGGACAACAAGGTTTTGAGGTTTTTATGGTAATGTTACTGAACGCCTCTTTTCCGTTGTAACTTACTGCGGTAAGAATGTCCATTGCTTAATCCCGGCACCAGAACACGATAATTTACCTAACCTAACGAGATAATTTTGCCGAAAAGTAGTAAAAGCATGTTTAGCATCTCCATGTGATTAATACATATCTGAGATACATTCCTAAGTGCTGAACAAATGCCACTAAACTAAGATAAAATTCCTAAATGTTGAAATAATGGCATTCCTTAGAGTTCTCAGAGAAAGTTCCAAATGTTCAAAATAAATGTGCCAGTGACACTGTCACACATGGGCATAGAGTTTGTCTCTCACATTAGAATGTTATTTTAATCTCAAACTAAGGTGTATGCAAAACGTTGGCTATGTGAAATTGTTCTGTTAAAAAGCCAACACCCATAAAACATTTTAATATTAAAATCTGTAAAATAAATATTAATATGTAAATCAGAAGTTAACATATATAGTGTCATATAAAAACATATAGTTAGACTATATTATAGACTACTGTAGGGTACCTGTAGTAGCTGAGAGCAATCCAGGTTAATTTTTTAAATGTTACGTGGTTTGAAGGTGTTTGTTATTACATATGCATCTGTTATTAACCAAATTGAAATATGGCTATCAATTTGAATATTATTACCATTTTCTACATAGACTAGCGAATGACTAGCCTCTCATACATGTGAAAACAGTCAGTCAATTTCGATTCAGTGTATACTATTGTATCATATACTTTTACTGATAGGTGTTGCACCCTTTTCTGGTGCAACCACTGGAACTGGAGGACGCATCAGGGACATTCAAGCAACTGGTAGAGGGGCACATGTTATAGCAGGAACAGCAGGTTATTGTTTTGGGAATTTACAAATACCAGGTGTGTATATGGCAGAGAAAAGAACAACATGTCAAATGAATTCAACTTTTACTTTTTGATCAGTTAAGAATTGAAATATCAACCACAACCTTGAAATACACATGGAAGAGCTTTTTGATCAAAGTTTCTAAATTCATTAACCCTACATTTAATTCTCTATTGTTGTCAGTAGTAACAGCATGTTTTCTTGGTGTAATTATTGCTTCATACTAATGGACTCAGAGATTGGCTTATAAGCACATTTATGTGTTAACCATACAAATATTTTTGTTAAAGGTTACAAGCTTCCATGGGAAGACCCTGATCTCACATATCCTCCAAATATGGCTCCTGCTTTAGAAGTAGCTGTAGAAGCAAGCAATGGTGCATCGGATTATGGCAATAAGTTTGGAGAACCTGTGCTGGCTGGTTTTGCAAGGTCATTTGGAATGAAACTACCTAGTGGTGAGAGACGTGAATGGGTGAAACCCATCATGTTCAGTGGTGGCATTGGAAGTATTGATGCAGCAAATATAACAAAGCTTCATCCTCAGCAAGGTAATAAAACTGGATTGTTTTTTTTTGGATGTAGGCTGTACAAGTCTAATTAATTGAGTAAATTTTGCTTGTGTCTCTTCACAATGAAGGCATGGAAGTTGTTAAGGTTGGAGGCTCTGTCTACAGAATAGGAGTGGGTGGTGGTGCAGCATCGTCTATTCAGGTACAGGGGGATAATGTGTCAGAGCTTGACTTTGGTGCAGTTCAGAGAGGAGATGCTGAAATGGAGCAAAAGATGAACCGTGCTATAAGAGCTTGTCTAGAACTGGATTCCAACCTTATTTGTAGTATTCATGATCAGGGAGCTGGTGGAAATGGTAAGAAATGTGTAGTGTACTAACATTCATATTATGAGTGTCATGAATTCCATAGCTCATTTCATTCACAACTTGAACAATATCACTTTAGCATAATGTTAGTACAGGGTCTATTCATTTAGAGCTTGGTGCATGGCAAGTGATCAATGTAGTGATAATATGTCAGGACAGGCATACGTGTGTTAGTACAGGGTCTATTCATTTAGAGCTTGGTGCATGGCAAGTGATGTAGTGATAATATGTCAGGACAGGGATACGTGTGTTAGTACAGGGTCTATTCATTTAGAGCTTGGTTCATGGCAAGTGATGTAGTGATAATATGTCAGGACAGGCATATGTGTGTCAGTACAGGGTCTATTCATTTAGAGCTTGGTGCATGGCAAGTGATGTAGTGATATAATATGTCAGGACAGGGATACGTGTGTTAGTACAGGGTCTATTTATTTAGAGCTGGGTGGATGGCAAGTGATGTAGTGATAGTATGTCAGGACAGGGATACATGTGTTACGGTCTATTCATTTAGAGCTGGGTGCATGGCAGGTGATGTAGTGATAATATGTCAGGACAGGGATACGTGTGTTAGTACAAGGTCTATTCATTTAGAGCTGGGTGCATGGCAGGTGATGTAATGACAATATGTCAGGACAGGGATACGTGTGTTAGTACAGGGTCTATTCATTTAGAGCTGGGTGCATGGCAAGTGATGTAGTGATAATACGTCAGGACAGGGATACCTTTTGTTCTCCCCCTTGTCATGAGGGTTTTTCAGGATTTTCTAATCTTGTTTACAAAAAATTACCATACAGTGTTAATGTAGTAACCAACTGGATAAGGTGACTTTTGTTTTTGTAGGTAATGTACTAAAAGAAATCTGTGAACCTGCGGGAGCTATGATCCAAGTTAAAGATTTTACGCTTGGGGATCCCACATTGTCTGTGTTGGAGATATGGGGTGCTGAGTACCAAGAAAGCAATGCTTTATTGGTTAGAAAAGAAGACAAAAAGTCTTTGAAGGAGATTTGTTGTAGAGAGAAAGTTCCTGTTGACTTTGTTGGGAATATTACAGGTATGTTGAACCAACGTCACATTATTTTAGCATTCCTTTTACTTACTACATACTGAAAAGATTTTGTTTCTTTGTAAGGTGATGGACATATAGTTCTAGAGGATGCTTTATGTACAAATGGTAGTACCAAGAGTCTGGTTGAAAAAGCTGCAAAGCGTAAAAAAACTGCTATTTATCCTGTGGATTTGGAACTGGATGTTGTTCTGGGAAAAATGCCAAGAAAGGTTTGTTTGCATCATGAAATTTTGTGGAAACATAACAAAATTAATCACCATTAGCATATGTATTGGACGAAGAAAATTCCGAGGACTTCCAAAATTGGATGAGGCCGTATTTGTTGATTGGGGAATATGAAATCCCATTTCCTATTAATTACATAGCTGCCTAATTAATCCCTTATCAACAAGACCTGTCCAATTAAGAAAATAATTGGACAGGTCTTGTTGATATGGGATTAATGAGAAGCTGTATAATTAATAATGGTAATAGGACTGAGTGGAATCCAATTCCATGTGTAATCATACAAGGGATAAACAACATTAGATAACTGGGTAGCAGGAGTCCAATTTGTTTATTCTAAGTATTATTACAGACAGAATTGGACAACACAAAGTCCTGTTACCAATTAACTATAACTATTACCATTTCTGAGAAAAATATTTTTGTGATAAACAATAAACAACAGTTGTTCATTGACAGGGCAGAAAAACGGTTTTTGGCCTTTCGCCATAAGGACAGCTTTATGTATTTAAGCTCAATATTATGTAAACACGTTCTTTTGGAGCCAAATAGCAAAATTCTTTACTTATTACTGTCATGAACTTATTCATTATCCAAGTGGTTAGTATTGGCATGTGACCTCTTCAATGCGTTATGCATGGAATATTTGACTTTAAATAAATGACTAGACAACTCACTATTATTTACATGTGAGCAATTGGGAATTAAGAACAGATCACGTAGCAGTGCTACCCTCTCACACCAAGGCAACCCAGGTTTTATTCCCAGACTTAGTGTTGCATGTGAGGGTTTTTCTCCATGTTCTGCACCTTGGCAAAAATCAACTCCTAAATTCAAATTGGAATTCAGTGGAAGAAGAGCCATTCTTGGGAACTAATGTGTATGTGCAAATCGTTGATGCTGATTGGTAGATGTAAGACAGTAATAACCTCACATGTGAATATTATTGCATTTTGATATTATTTTTGTTATAAGCCAGGCCTTTCTACTTGGGTTGTGGTTTTAGTTATAAGGCAAACATGTATCATAGGTTATCATAGTTGCCATTGCCACTAGGATGTTTGCTTATTCAACAAACGGTTGAGCTGACAGCCAGAGTAGTCTCTAAGGAATGGCTAGATGCTAAAAAAATTCCATGCTTACATTAAATTTTTAAATTTATTTTCTAGGTGTTTAACTTGGAGCGAATCCAAACCAAACTAAGACAATTAGAAATAGATTGTAATCTAACTCTGAGAGAGGCACTTGATAGAGTACTGAGATTACCATCAGTGGCTAGTAAAAGATACCTCACAAACAAAGTAAGTAGTCTTTAGCAACAAATCTGATTTATTACCAAAAAATACCTTGTAAAGGCTTCTTCCTGATGTTGATAATAAATAAGGCTAGTTAATGACAGTTCATGAAAGGAAGTCAAAAAGTTATGTTACAGTTCAAGTGAAACCGGATGTTGTGCAGGGCCATTTTTGAAAACAGTACTTTTGTGCTGACTAGGTTACAATGGGTAAATAACATTGTATGATGATGATGATGTTGAGGAGGGAGAAGAATGATGATGATGATGAGTAGGAGGAGGAGGAGGATGAAGATGATGAGGAGTAGGAGAATGATGGTGATGATGAGTAGGAGGAGGAGAATGCTGAAGATGATGAGGAGGAAGAGGAGGAGAATGATGATGAGGAGTAGGAGGAGAGTGATGAGGAGGAGACGTAGTAGGAGTAGAATGATCATGAGTAGGAGGAGGAGGATGATGAGGAGGAGAAGGATAAAGATGATGAGGAATAGGAGGAGGAGAATGATGATGATGAGGAGTAGGAGAATGATGGTGATGATGAGTAGGAGGAGGAGAAGAATGCTGAAGATGATAAGGAACAGGAGGAGGAGAATGATGATGAAGAGGAGTAGGAGGAGGATGAGTAGGAGGAGGATGAGGAGTAGGAGGAGAATGCTGAAGATGATAAGGAACAGGAAGAGGAGAATGATGATGAAGAGGAGTAGGAGGAGGAGGAGGATGAGTAGGAGGATGAGGAGGAGGAGGATGATGATGAGGAGGAGGAGGATGAGGAGGAGGAGGAGGACGATGAGGAGTAGGAGGAGAGTGAGGAGGAGGAGGAGGAGGAGAATGATGCCGATGATGAGGAGGATGAGGAAGAGGAGGATGATGATTAGGAGGAGGAGGATGAGCAGGAGCAGGATGATGATGAGTAGGAGGAGAATGATGATGATGATGAGTAGGAGGATGATGATGATAACGATGATGAAGAGCAGAATAATGAGACAGACCCAATTAAGTGGATGCATCGGTGTAATTCCAAGTTTAGATTTTATACTTTCAAAACATTCATTGAAACTATTTCTAGCATGAGAGATTACAAAGCATTTGAATGTGAGGTGATATTTATTTGGTTTCTTGTGGAAGAGATAAAAATAATTCTTGAACAGCATGTGCAAATGATATTTAAGAGTGGCATAAGTCAGCATGCACCCATTAAATGTAATATTTCTGAGTGCTGCAAGAGATCACCTGCAATACTGAGTGATTGGTATGGTGTTTTTTTCTTCTTTTCAATTCATTGATGATTCATTTCCCCTTAAGGTGGATCGTAGTGTAACGGGACTAGTAGCCCAACAGCAATGTGTAGGTCCATTGCACACTCCTGTAGCAGATGTAGCAGTGACTGCATTATCTCATTTTGACACATGTGGTTCAGCAACGGCTATCGGCGAACAGCCAATCAAAGGGCTGATCAATAATCAAAGTGGTGCAAGAATGACTGTTGGAGAGGCGCTGACTAATCTGGTCTTTACAAAGATATCTGACTTAAAGGTTTGTTTCTTCCTACAGTAGGTTTCCAGGGCTCCCATTGATAGCAGAGCTTTTTATTAGTTCTGAAGGGACTACCCTGGCTTTATTTATTTTATAAAAAGTTTTCATTCATATTCAAATGGAGTAAAAGATAACTTGAATAAATAATTCTCAAGAGCGGTGGGTCAGTAAACTAATGTTTAGAATTAATAAATTCATGAACCAAAAGTCCTGAATGACTGAAGAATTATCCTTTGGTAAAAATTGTTTACTGATACTCTATTATTTCATAGGATGTTAAGTGCAGTGCAAATTGGATGTGGGCAGCAAAACTACCCGGAGAAGGAGCAGCACTGCATGATGCATGTAATGCAATGTGCACCATTATGGCTGATATAGGAATTGCTGTTGATGGGGGAAAAGATTCCTTAAGTATGGCCGCCAAAGTCGGGGGACAACCCGTCAAGGCACCAGGAGCTCTAGTCGTTTCTGTATATGCTCCTTGTCCAGACATCAGACTCAAGGTTACACCAGATCTAAAGCTTCCTCATGGCAAGGGATCACTTGTTTATGTTAGAATGGGCTCCAGTAAATGTCGTCTCGGTGGAAGTGCACTGGCTCAAGTCTATAATCAGATTGGAAATACCTGCCCAGACCTCGATGATCCAAAAGTATGACAGATATATAAATGTGTTTATAAGTGTGTAATAGTCATTGAACAATAACCCCGAGTCGAGGTTATATGCATTGGTTCATATTATTTGAACAAGCTGATTTATGTGCTATTTTGCATGACATTAACGCGCTTTAACCATTTCGTTTAAGGAATTCGTCTCAGGATTCCAGACTACACAAGAACTCATTGGCAATAAGCTTGTTACAGCTGGACATGATGTCAGTGATGGTGGCTTAGTCACAGCGTTGCTAGAGATGGCCTTTGCAGGGAACTGTGGCATCGACGTCAATCTTCATTACCCAAGCACAGAAGAACCCTGTGTCAGCAAAGCGATAGATCTTTTATTCGCTGAGGAACTTGGTATAGTTCTTGAAGTCAGCAAGCGCAACCTTGGTAAAGTCTTGAGTGCTTATAAGTCAAGTAACGTTGCATGCTGTGAGATTGGCCAGACTGGAAGCCTCGGGGAAGATAGCTACGTATCAATCTGTTTGGAAGGCGTTTCTGTCCTCAAAGAGAATATGGTGGACCTGAGAGACATATGGGAGGCAACAAGTTTTCAGCTGGAGAGACGGCAGTGCAACCCAAGGTGTGTAGAATTAGAGGAAGCTGGACTGCGACACAGGAAAGCTCCAGAATATTGCCTAACATTTGAGCCATTGGCAGCTGCACCAAGAGAAATGACGGACTCGCCCCCTAAAGTGGCTGTTATAAGAGAAGAAGGAAGTAACGGTGACCGTGAGATGGTTGCTAGCCTTTACATGGCAGGCTTTGAAGTGTGGGATGTGACTATGAATGACCTCTGTCAAGGATCTTTCAGTTTGAAAATGTTTCGTGGTGTAGTGTTTGTTGGGGGTTTTAGCTACGCTGATGTGATGGGATCGGCAAAGGGTTGGGCGGCAGTTTGTCAGGTAAACGATACGGCACGTAAAGAGTTTGATTCATTCCTCACACGTAACGACACATTCAGTCTAGGAATCTGTAATGGATGTCAGCTAATGGGGCTGCTTGGTTGGGTCGGGTCTGATACAACGGCTTCTTCATCAAACGAAGATAGTGACGCCTTGTGTGCCTCTCAAGGTGTGTGCTTTACACATAATACTTCCGAAAGATTCGAGTCCCGTTTTGTGACAGTTTCCATTGAACCAAGTCCTGCCATTATGTTAAAAGGAATGGAAGGTTCAACCCTGGGCGTCTGGGTAGCTCATGGAGAGGGCAGAGCACAGTTTCGGCGAGCTGACATCCTACAAGATATTTTGGCTAAAGATCTTGCTCCTGTTCGTTACGTTGATGACGACTGTAACATTACAACTCAGTATCCTCTAAACCCCAATGGATCCCCGCTGGGAATAGCTGCACTGTGTTCACAGGATGGTCGTCACCTTGCTATGATGCCCCATCCAGAAAGATGTACGTTGATATGGCAATGGCCTTGGATGCCTGAAGATTGGAGGCAAAACCTTGAAACATCACCATGGTTACAGATGTTTCACAATGCTTTCATGTGGTGTCAACAGTAAGCTGTCTCTAATACCTATATACCAGATACCTATACTTGTACTAGATGTAGCCTTTCGATTTCAATTTATAATTTTTCGTTCAGTCGTGAAAGAAAACTTTTAAAGTTTACTTAAATAATAATTTCGGAGAGCTTTTCTTGTAAGTTGTAAATCACTTACGAATCTGGTTATACTCAGATACCAATAATGCTAAAAGCATAAAGGTGCAGTGCTAATTTTTTTCAGTATTTCTTTAATAAAGAGAAATGCTAGGAATGTTTTATTGTATTTATTGATCTGTTATTGGTTTGTTTTCATTTTCAGTCTGACAACAGGAGTCAGATGACTTTGTTAATATAACTTGTTGCTTCATTACCTTTATTACCGACTGTTTGAAGGCTATTTTTCGCTATTTTTCGACTTTTTTCACTATTGGTTGTGGAGTGGAATGTCACTCAGTCACCTCAACCCCTATCCCTCAAACCTCCCCCAGAAAACAGGGAAATTACCGAGCTAATCAATAAGCTAGCAAGCTAGCCACTCATAAACGAGGAGAGCAAACGCTTGTCTTACGACAAACCTCAAAGAATGCAAATATTTCTGAACTTAATAATCTTCATTCTACAGACTGAAATTAAGTTCATCAGTGAAGATGCGCGTATTGTTAAAGACACCAGGAAGCATAATAAAACTATTTAATTCTGATCCCTTGCTTGATGCAGGTACTATAATAATAGATTGTTTATTCAACCTCTCGCAGTATTTTTAAAATTGAAGTACAGGCAGGGTCAGTCACTAATAATAAATAAATATAGAATAATAAATAGAATAAATATAGAATAATAAATATAGAAAAAATATATAGATATAGAGAAAAATAAATATAAAAAAAGAATAAAAAAAATAAATTCAATCGCGTGCGCATTAGTCACAAATGTGCGGAATCAATCCTATCAGTATTGGTTGCCTTGAGATATGAAGTAACCTGTTGTTAGGTATAGTCATTCTGCTACTTACTAGGTTATAAACTGGGTTATTGGACTTAATGAAATTAATACAAGCATCCTCCCGCCTTTTTATAAGCGTCCACAGGCCAGATTCTAATAGTGCCAGATTGTAGGACTAAAATCGTATATTTTAGAACTTAGAAAAGCAGTAATAGCATCTAAATACCGTATATATTGTTGGAAAACACTGGTTTATGAAAATGACATCGGAGACATCGTGGCGTATTGAGTCACTTGACCTGCAGATATGGCGCCAAAGGGAGAAAGACCAAACCCTTGCTACTGACGGTCTTTCAAAGCTATCAATAAAATAGGGCATTAATGTACTGACTTAATTAAGTGATGTATTATATTTTTCCATCATAATTTATTTATCATAAATCAACCCAGCTTAAACTGCGTAAATACTAAAATCAAGGCCAAAATGATTTCAAGCCAACAAGTTTCTTCAGCTCCATGACCATCGGCCATTCCGAGGTTTGAGTGTAAAAAATCTTGGTACGTCGAGTTAGCATTTAACGAACTGTCCACCCAAAAGATCTTTCCGAGTCCCCACGCAACAGGTAAGTGCCCCGACCCACTTGTTTCTGTATATTTATTTATTCAAAAGGACGTTTGCGGGCAAATGAAGTTGCAATCAGAATTTTCTTTAAACTTGACATTAACATAGATACCACAGCATATTCTTTTTTGTTCAAAAAAATAAAAACAGGGGTCACTGAATGCGTTTTGGTATCAATATTACGTTGTGAGGCTTGCAGCAACAACTGAGTACTTCTTTGGCGTCTCCCTTCTCTGTTGTGCGGGGTTCCACTATGTTAAAGAATGGACCGTAAGGTAAACTTTCTGAGTTCAGTATTAGGGCAAGGCATGACTGGATTATTGTGGGGTGGCGCTCCATAAATAAAGACAACATGCTCGTCAGGGGCGAGGTTTAGTCTTGTTTTTGCTAAGAAATCAATGAATCTTTGGATGGAAAACAAGGACATTGGTACATGAAATAGCTATAGCGACTGTCGCATTTCTCCCTCGCTGACCACACAAATATATAATTATATGAAGAATATTTAGATAAAAGGGGTCTTAAAGAGGAAATGGGTGTGTGGTCTATTGATTTT